ATCAGCCGAGCATGGTAGCGCATGCCTGTCATTCCGGCTACTTGGAAGACTGAGGCGGAAGGATCGCCGGAGCCCAGCGGGTCGAGGCTGCGGTGGCCGGGAGCGGCCACTGCACTCCAGTCTGGGTGACAGAGTGAGACTCCAACTCAAAAAAAATCCTGCTTTCTAAAAAAAAAAAAAAAAAAAGTGTGGCACAGAGTAAAACAAAATCTCACTATGGGAGGCTGAGATGGAAGGATTGCTTGAGGCCAAGAGTTCCATACCAGCGTGGGCAACAAATGAGACCCTGTCTCTTTTTTGTTGTTGGTCAGTTGGGGTCTCACTCTGTCACCCAGGTTGGAGTGTGGTGGCACGATCATGACTCACTGCAGCCTCAATTGCCCAGGCTCAGGTGATCCTTCCTCCTCAGACTTCCGAGTAGCTGGGACTAGAGGTGTACCACTACACCTGGCTATTTTTTAAATTTTTTGTAGAGACGAGGTCTCATTATGTTGTCCAGGCTGGCCGCAAACTCTTAGGCTCAATGAATCCTCTGCCTCAGCCTCCCAAAATGCTGGGATTACAAGCATGAGTCACTGTGCCCAGGCTCATCTCTAAAAAAAAGATAAGTAAATGAAAAAGAAAAAAAGGAAACTCAATCAGCGGTCATCATGATTGTCTCACTAATTCATACAGAACAGGATTCTCTCTTTACAGATGAGGAAACAGGTTCAGCATGTGACGTCCAAGGTCACACAGCAAGGACCTCAGGGTCCCATGTCCCCTCCTCATTCCATGTTGTCAGCAGTCTCCAGCCTTCCATTTGCAATCTCCAATCCAGTCTGTATCTTACCCTGGGTTTCTTTCTAATCCTCTCAGAAGCCTCCTTAAAAAACAATCCTTCCCAAGCCCTAGTGGATAAACTCCAAGCTCCTTAGATGACAAGGATCTTTCTAATCTTTTACCTTGAAATTTGAATATGGAGGGAATATTAAACTCTAATAACTAGAGGCTAAACAAGAATTAGTTTAGCACACCTAAAATTTAGCACACCTCAAATTTCTCAGGTGTGACAATACTGCTGTGGTTCTAGGAGAGAAGGGCCTTTTCTTAGGAATTGCTGAAGGTGTGCCTGGGTCTGCAACCTCACTTCAAATAGTTTAGGAAAACAAAAACCAAAACAAAAAATTGTGTATTCGTGTGTGCACAGGTAAACCAATTATGAAACATGTTAACAATTTTTGAATTGAGATGGTGGGAATGTGGTGTTCATGCCACTATTGTTTAACTTTTCTGGTTGGAAATTTTCATGATACAAAATTGATCCAATATGTTAAGGAAATACACATTCAGTTGGGCTCGGTGGCTCAGCCTGTAATCTCAGCACTTTGGGAGGCTGAGGTGAGTGGATTGCCTGAGTCAGCGGGTTCCAGACCCACCTGGGCAACTTGGCAAGACCTCATCTCTACAATAAATCAAAAACTAGCCAGGCGTGGTAGCACACGCCTGTAGTTCCGGCTACTTGGAAGGCTGAGGTGGAAGGATTGCCAGAGCCCAGCAGGTCGAGGCTGTGGTGGCTGTGAGCGTGCCACTGCACTCCACTCTGGGTGACAGAGTGAGACTCTAACTCAAAAAAAAAAAAAAAAAAAAGAAATACACATCGAAGCAAACAGCCATGAGGTATACAAGTTACCTTCAAATGGGTCAGAAAAAAAATACATTGTGTATACAGTGGCAGGGGTATATGGGTGTCCTTTCATCTTTTCTGTAAAATTGAGATCATTTCCAAATAAAAAAGGGAGCCAGGCATGAGGGTGCATGTGTGTAATCCTAGCACTTTGGGAGGCCGAGGCAAGAGGATTGCTTGAGCCTAGGAGTTCAAGACCAGGTTGGGCAATACAGCGAGACCTCATCTCTACAAAAAATAAAAGAATTCAGCTAGGCGTGGTGACACACACGTGTGTCCCAGCTATTCAGGAGGCTGAGACAGGAGGATCGCCTGAGCCCAGGAAGTCAAGGTTATGGTGAACCATGATGGTGCCATTGCACTCAGCCTGGGTGACAGAGTGAGAACCCAACTCAAAAAAAAAAAAAAAAAAAAAAGAACCAACTCCTCACACATAAAAGACTTTACTATTTTTTTAAAAACCTAAACAAAAAGGTTTTGAAAATAAAAAAGCAGATTAAATCAGTTTTACAGTTTTTTTATGGAAGCAAAACTTGTTTCAACCACTCAAATTGGGTTTCAAGACATGAAAGTAAAAGAAAAATTAAGAGCAGACCATTGTAAAATTGCAGGTTTAGTTTTACTTTTCCATTTAAAAACTTGAAGCAAAAAAGCTATAAATGATTTTGTTTCCTATCTTCCAGCTAGATCTGGCCTCTGGGATTTTGCACATGCCAGACTGTTCCATGTGGCCGTCCCTCATGTTACTTCCCTTCATGGGAAGCAATTTGTGTGATGAAACACAGAGGTGAGGAGCGTGCACTGTGGAGACAGACAGCTAGGTGCACGTCCCAGCCCTGCTAGTCACAAGCTGTGTGAATGTGGCGGCTCAATTGGCCTCCCTGTGCCTGGCTCCCGGAGCTATACCAGGGAGACAGTAATAACAACAGCTAGTCCTTTCTGAGTATTTACTATGTGCCACGTTGGGTACAAACCTCAAAGAAGTTTTGGGAGGATTAAGTGGCATTTATTCCTAGGATGCTCAGATAGCACCTAGCACACAGTAAGTGCTCAATAAATGCTGTCAGCAGCTGGGTGCGGTGGCTCATATCTGTAATCCCAGCATTTTGAGAGGCCAAGGAAGAAGGATCACTCGAGTTTAGGAGTTTGAGACTAGCCTGGGCAACACTGTGAGACCTCATCTCTAAAAAACATAAATTAAGGGCTGGGTTCAGTGGCTCAAGCCCGTAATCCCAGCACTTTGGGAGATCAAGGCGAGAGGATTGCCTGAGCTCAGGGGTTCAAAACCAGACTGGACAACTTGGCAAGACCTCGTCTCTACAATTAATCAAAAAATTAGCCGGGTGTGGTAGCGCACGCCTGTAGTTCCGGTTACTTGGAAGGCTGAGGCGGAAGAATAGCCGGAGCCCAGCAGGTCGAGGCTGCGGTGACCATGAGCGTGCTGCCGCACTCTAGCCTGGGCGACAGAGTAAGACTCCAACTCAAAAATAAGTAAATAAAAAGAAATAAATTAAATAAGGTAAAATAAAACACTGTTAGCATTAACTGCTCCTGTCATACAATCTGCATCTTTCCTTTCGGATTACTTGAGACAACCATTTGTTTAATGTCCATCTCCCCGTGACTGGTAGAGACCTGGGATTATCCACAATTCTATCCCTTCCTCCAGGAGGCCCTCCCTGCCCTCTCTCAGGCTGGGTCACATGCCTCTTCCGGGCTCCCACAGTCCTCTGCTTTCTCCCACCCTGCCCCTGACCCCTCTGTCTATGCCTCCCCTATCCAGCCCTGATGATCTGGGATGACAGTTTGATCATGCATCTGTTTATGAGTGCAGGGCCCAGGGCTGTATTGGTCACCATTGTGCCCCATCATCATCCAGCAAGGTTCAGATACACAACTGGTGCTCAACAGAGGCATGGTGACTTGGAATGACTCCAATGCCACCGTTCAGAGACCCCCCCCCGGCTGCCTGTCCAGTGCCCGCCCCCCAGTTCAGCCCCGCCCCCATGACCCCACCACCCACCCGAGGTGCAGGCCACGACCTTGTCCACACCATGAGCCTTCATGGCTGCCACAATGTTCCGGGCACCCTCGGACATCACTGTAGTGGGACCTTAGAAGGGACAGAGAGCAGCTGTCACTGGTGGGCGGTGGCGGCAGTGGCAGGGGTGGGGCCGGGGGCGGGCGTGGGGCTGGGGGCCGAGGTGCAGGAGGGGGCCGTGGGCAGAGGGGGGGCTCAGTACTGAGGTCGTTGCCGGTGCCTAGCAGCACGATGACAGCATCCTGCCCAGCCACAGTCTTGTCCACATCGGCTGCCTGCCGCACATCACCCACTACCACGTGGGCCGGCTGGGGCCCCTCCGACGGCAGCCGGGAGGAGTCCCGCACCAGTACTGTCACCTCATAACCTGTGGGGAGACAGGAGCAGAAAGGTGGGTCAGTGGGCTTGCGGCTGGACTCTGGGGCTCCAGGGGCCGGAGCGTCCAAAATAACACTGACAGCAAAGAATCGAAACACATCGACTATGACAATCTGTGAGTTCATCAGGATACTGATGAAGAAACCTCATCGGTTACTGCCACCAGTGATCACAGGATTGATCCCTTATTCTAAAAATGATAAAAGGAAGCCGGGCTCGGTGGCTCAGCCTGTAATCCCGCGCCTTGAGAGGCTGAGGTGAGTGGATTGCCTGAGCCCGTGGGTTCGAGACCCGCCTGGGCAGCGAGACCTCATCTCTACAATAAATCAAAAAATCAGCCGGGCGTGGCAGCGCATGCCTGTAATTCCTGCTACTCGGAAGGCTGAGGCGGAAGGATCGCCGGAGCCCAGCAGGTCGAGGCTGCGGTGGCCGGGAGCGGCCACTGCACTCCAGTCTGGGTGACAGAGTGAGACTCCAACTCAAAAAAAAAAAGGATAAAAGGAAAAAGAATAGAATTGCTTCAGTTCTCTTGATAGTTATCTATTTCAAAAACATGATAGGAGGTCGGGCATGGCTCACACCTGTAATTCCAGCACTTTGGGAGGCCAAGGCTAGAGGACTGCTTGAGCCCAGGAGTTTGAGGCCAGCCTGCACAACGTAGCAAGATCTCATCTCCATTTAATGTACATTAAAAATAACTCAAACATTAAAAAAAGACAAATAGGTCAGACTCGGTGGCTCAGCCTGTAATCCCAGCACTTTGAGAGGCCAAGACAAGTGGATTGCCTGAGCCTGTGGGTTCGAGACCAGCCCAGGCAACTGGGCGAGACCTTGTCTCTGCAATAAATAAAAAATTAGCCGGATGTGGTAGTACGCGCCTGTACTTCTGGCTATTTGGAAGGCTGAGGCGGAAGGATGGCCGGAGCCCAGCAGGTAGACACTGCTGGGCCGTGAGTGTGCCACTGCACTCTAGCCTGAACAACAACAGAGTGAGACTCCAACTCAAAAAAGAAAAAGTGACCAAATTAAAAATGAGCAAGAGATCTGAATAGACATTTTTTCAAAGGTATACAAATGACCAACAGCACATTAAAAGATGCTCAGCATCACTAACTATCAGAAAAATGCGAATCGAAACTACAGTGAGATACCACTTCACACTCACTGGGATGGTTATAATAAAAAAGACAGCTATACTGAGTGCGGTGGCTCACATCTGTAATCCCAGCACTTTGGAAGGAGGAGGAGAGAGGATGGCCTGACCCAGGGGTTTGAGACCAGCCTGGGCAACTTGGTGAGACCTCGTCTCTATAATAAATCAAAAAATTAGCTGGGCGTGATGGCGCATGCCTGTAGTTCCAGTTCCTTGGAAGGCTGAGGCGAAAGGATTGCCTGAGCCCGGCTGGTAGAGGCTGAGGTGGCCATGAGCGTGCCACTGCACTCCAGCCCGGGGAACAAAATGAGACTCCTACTCAAAAGAGAGAGAGAGAGAGAGAGAGAGAAAGACAGATACAAGTGTCGACAAATGTATGGGGAAGTTGGAACCCTCACACATTGCTGATGGCAACATTGAATGCTGCAGCTGCCTTGGAAAACAATCTGGCATTTCCTCAAAAGATTAAACATCGAGTTATCATCTGACCCAGGAATTCCACTCCTAGATATATACCCAAAAGAAAAAAAACATATATTCCCACAAAAACTTGCACACGAATGTTCATAGTAGCATTATTCATGCTAGAAGAAACAACTCAAACATTCATCAATCAATGAATGAATAAATAAAATGTGGAATATCCATACAATGTAATATTTGGCAGGAAAAAGAAATGATATACTGATACATACTACAACATGGATGAACCATGAGACAATTTTTGCTAAGTAAAAGAAGCTAGTCCCAAAGAACAAATATTGTACGATTCTGTTTACATTAAATGTCCAGAACAGGAATATCCATACAAACAGGAAGTAGATGAGTGGCTGCCTAAGAGTTGGAGAGGAAAATGGGGGAGGGAGGAGAGGAAAGGGAGCAACTTCTACGGGTTTCTCTTTGATATGATGAAAATGTTCTAAACTAATTGTGAAGGTATTTGCACAACTCTGTGAACTTGCTAAAAACCATTGAATCGAGCTGGGCACAGTGGCTCATGCCTGTAATCCCAGCACTTTGGGAGGCCAAGATGGGAGGATCACTTGAGGCCAGGAGTTCAAGATCAGCCTGGGCAGCTTAGCAAGATCCTGTTTCTATTTATCAAATAAAAATTAAAAAATGGTTGGGCACGGTGGCTCACGCCTATAATCCCAGCACTTAGGGAGGCCGAGGTGAGAAGACTGCCTGAGCTCAGGGGTTCAACATCAGTCTGGGCAACTTGGCTAGACCTCATCTCTACAATAAATCAAAAAAGTTGCCAAGTGTGGTGGCACATGCCTGTAGTTCCAGCTACTTGAAGGGCTGAGGTGGAAGGATCGCCTGAGCATAGCAGGTCGAGGCTGTGGTGGCTGTGAGCGTGCCACTGCACTCCAGCATGGGTGACAGAGTGAGACTCCGACTGCAAACAAATCAAAGAAGTTCCCTTGGAATCTGATCTCTCCTCTCTAGCTCTTGCTGGAGCCACTGGCCTCTTCACCCACTTTCAGTTCCTCAAACACACTATGCTGTTTCCTGCCTCCTGGCCTTTGCACATGCTGTCCCCTCTGCCTGGAATATCCTACATCCTCTTTCCCCAGTCTCCCCCCATCACTTGTGCTTCCTCTATCACGGTTCCCTTTAAGCACGCTTGGAGTAAACCAAAGGTAGCAAGACCTCATCTCCATTTAATGTACATTAAAAATTATCCAATCATTAAAAAAAGACAAATAGGCCAGGCTCGGTGGCTCAGCTTGTAATCCCAGCACTTTGGGAGGTCAAGGCGAGTGGATTGCCTCCCAAAACTGGTCACTGCCATCTCCCTGACCTTTATTTAATTTTTTTTCCTGAGTTGGGTCTCACTCTGTTGTCCAGGATGGAACACAGTGACATGATCGTGGTTCACCACAGTCTCTCCCTCCTAGGCTCAGGCAATCTTTCTGCCTCAACCTCTGAGTAGCTGGGACTACAGGGGCATGCCATAGTGCCTAGCTGCATTTTTGAATTTTTTGTTGGGACAGGGTCTCACTATGTTGTCCAGGCTGGTCTTGAAGTCCTGGGTCAAGAAATCCTGCCTTGGCCTCCCAAAGTGTTGGGATTACAGGCATCAGTCACTGTGCCTGGCCTTTCTGATCCTTTATAAACACAAATACACCAACTTTACTGCCCCATGAACCTGAGTTTAAACTCTGGCTCTGCCACTTACCAGCTGAGGAATCTCAAGTAATACCTTCCCTGGGTGGGCCTCAGCTTCTGAAATGAGGGTCACTATACCCAGCATACCATGCTGTGTGACCACCTTCCCTAAGAGAATGACACAAAACCTTTGCTGCCCTCACACATGAAAGAAGCTGGGATTTGCATGGAGTCAATGTGGGCATTGCTCAACTGCCACTGAATTGATTAACATGAACCCCAATAAATTGTGAATTCTTTTTATTTGAGAAATATGTTGCTTTAGTCGGAATGTTCATAGCCCTTCAAAATTCACAAGTTGAAACCCAATCACCAAGGTGGAGCTTTTGGGAGGTGATTAAGTCTTAAGGGCTCTGTCCTCATGAATGGGATTATTGCCCTTATGAAGAGACCCCCTGAGAGCCAACTGTCTCCTTCCATCAGGTGAGAACACAGCTAAAAGGTAGGTGAGGACACAACTATAAAGTCTATGAAAAACAGAGCCTCAGCTGGGCATGTTGGCTCATGCCTGTAATCCCAGCACTTTGTGGGGGGGCGGGGGGAGAGGAGGTAAGAGGATTGCCTGAGCCCAGGGGTTCGAGACCAGCCTGGGCACCATGGTGAGACCTCATCTTTACAATAAATCAAAAAGTTAGCCAGGCATGGTGGTGCACACCTGTAGTTCCAGCTGCTTGGAAGGCTGAGCTGAAAGGATTGCCTGAGCCCAGCAGGTCAAGGCTACAGTGAGCTGGGCTCGTGCCATTGCCCTCCAGCCTGGACAACAGAGTGAGAACCTGTCTCAACAACAACAAAAAAATCCCAACAAATTATTGGGTACTCTTTCTATAGATGAATGAGATGCTTTTCACAAAAATTTTTTTAACACAACTCACATTAAATTTGTGGCCAGTAGTAACCATATCAAAAAGCCAGTTTTAGAATTCACAGATTTTGCCCTTTACAAAAAACAAGAGGGTTTGTGCCATAGTTTTGTACTTTTTTTCACAAAATTTTTTTTTTTTTTGAGTTGGAGTCTCACTCTGTCACCCAGACTGGAGTACAGTGGCCGCTCCCGGCCACCGCAGCCTCGACCTGCTAGACTCTGGCGATCCTTCCGCCTCAGCCTTTCAAGTAGCTGGAACTACAGACGCACGCTACCACGCCCGGCTAATTTTTTATTTATTGTAGAGATGAGGTCTCACCAAGTTGCCCAGGCGAGTCTCGAACCCGCGGGCTCAGGTAATCCACTCACCTCAGCCTCCCAAGGCGCAGGATTACAGGCTGAGCCACCGAGCCCGGCTCACAAATTTCTTTATTTACATTTTTGTTAATTTTTTTAAAAAGTTGCAGACCCAGATCCTTCCTATTTGCTCTTGCTTTAGTCTTCTCTATCTCTTTTTAAATTTTATTTATTTATTTTCATTTTTATTTTTGAGTTGGAGTCTCACTCCATTGCCCAGGCTGGAATGCAGTGGCACGCTCACAGCCACCCCAGCGTCGATCTGCTGGGTTCCGGAGATCCCTCCAAGTAGCCAGAACTACAGGCACACGTTACCACGCCCAACTAATTTTTGATTTATTGTGTCACTATTGCCCAGGCTGGAGTGCAGTGGCATGCTCACGGCCACCGCAGCCTAGATCTACTGGGCTCAGATGATCCTTTTGCCTCAGTCTTCCAAGTAGCTGGAACTAAAGGCATGTGCCACCATGCCAGGCTAATTTTATGATTTATTGTAGAGACAGGTCTCACCAAGTTGCCCAGGCTGGTCTCAAGCCCCTGAACTCAGACAGTCCTCTCACCTCTGCCTCCCAAAGTGTTGGGATTACAGGTGTGAGCCACGGAGTCAGGCTGCCTTCTCTCTCTTTATGTGTGTATATATAATATATATTACATGTGTAATTATACGCATGTATATGTAAATACATTTATACACATGCATATAGAAATACATATATGCACAATTTTTTTCTAACTATCTGAGAGTGAGTTGCTGAGGTCATGTCCTTTTTAAGCTTTTTTTAAACTTTTAATTATTTATTTTTGAGTCAGGGTTTCACTCGGTAACCCAGGCAAGAGTGCAGTGGCATGATCACAGCTCATCACAGTCTCCGACTCCTGGGCTCAGGTGATTCTCCCACCTCAGCCTCCTGAGTAGTTGAGATTACAGATGCTTGGCACCACACCCTGCTAATGTTTTTATTTTTATTTTTGTAGAGACAAGTTCTTGCTATGTTGTCCAGGCTGGTCTTGAACTTCTGGGCTCGAGCATTTCTCCTGCCTCTGCCTCCCAAAGTGCTAGGATTACAAGGGTCAGTGACTGCCCAGGCCCTTTTTAAGCTTTTTGAAAATCTCAACCCTTAATACAAAATAGATTTCACAGCCTAGACCAATGTACACAAACCCATAGATACATGTTGAAATTAAAGTTTCAGGCTGGGCAAGGTGGCTCATGCCTGCAATCTCAGTACTTTGGGAGGTGGAGGTAAGAGACCAGCCTGGGTGACTTGGTGAGATCTTGTCTCTACAATAAATCACAAAAAATTAGCCAGGCATGGTGGCACACGCCTGTAGTTCCAGCTACTTAGAAGACTGAGGCAGAAGGATCGTCTGAGCCAAACAGGTTGAAGCTGCAGTGGCTGTGAGTATGCCACTGTGCTCCAGCCTGGGTGACAGAGTGAGACTGTGACTCAAAAAAAAAAGAAAGAAAATGAAAGTTTCATAAAACCAGTACTTACCATGTGATACATGTTGATACTATGTGATCATGTGACCATATATTGTTGATATATGTTGACACATGATGTGACCAGATATTTCAGAACTCACTATGACCCACAGTTTGAGATGGACCAGATTGCAACAACCCTACAAGGTAGATATTATTATCCCTGTCCATTTTGAGAATTGGGAAATTGAGGCAATTTCAGGCAACTGGGCCAAAATCACACAGCTCGTAGGCAAAGAAGATTGACTTTATACCTGAGTCTGATCTGGAGCCTACAGAATTTAGTGCTAGGCTATGCTGAGTTTACTCAGCCAAAGTGTTTATTAAGCACCAACCATGCATGAACACTCTTCTAAGCACTTTCCATATATTATCTCATTTAATTATCACAAGAGCCTCTAGGCAAGTACTAATAGTTTCATTCCCACATTACAGATATTTGGTATACTATACAGATACCCCTGCTACAGAAAAACAAGGCATTTGGCCATACAGGCTGTAAGTGGCAGAACTGGCCGCCTGAATGCAAGTAGGCTGGGATTAGAGTTCATGTCTGTGGCCTCTTGGATCTACAGAAGCACTGAGGAAAATAAAACCCCAGTTTGCCAAGCCCTTCCTTTGTCTGATGGGTTCAGAGGCTCAGAGCTGGGAAAAGAGTTTTCAGAGTCACATCGACACCCTAGGCCAGCAAGGCGTGGTAACTCACTCCTGTAATCCCAGTATTTTGGGAGGCAGAGGCAAGAGGATTGCCTGAGGCCAGGGGTTCGAGACCAGCCTGGGCAACTTGGCGAGACCTTGTCTCTACAATAAATCAAAAAATTAGACAGGCATGGTGGGTGCGCCTGTAGTTCCAGCTACTTGGAAGGCTAAGGCTGAAGGATCACCTGAGCCCAGCAGGTTGAGGTGGTGGTGGCCGTGATTGTGCCTCTGCACTCCAGCTTAGGTGACAGAGTAAGACTCCAACTCAAAAACAAACAAACAGGCCGGGCTCGGTGGCTCAGCCTGTAATCCCAGCGCTTTGGGAGGCTGAGGTGAGTGGATTGCCTGAATCTGCGGGTTTGAGACCCACCCGGGAAATTTGGTGAGACCTCATCGCTGCAATAAATAAAAAAAAAAAAATAGCCGGGCATGGTAGCGCACGCCTATAGTTCCAGCTACCTGGAAGGCTGAGGCAGAAGGATCGCTGGAGCCAGCAGGTCGAGGCTGCGGTGACCGGGAGCGTGCCACTGCACTCCAGTCTGGGCAACAGAGTGAGACTCCAAAACAAAACAAAGCAAACAAACAAAAAAACACCCTAGGCCCCAGCAATCAATTCCCCTGGATGCAATCCCAGCTGTGACCAGCAGAGTGAAATCCAGTGGAGTTCAGTGGATTTCAAGGTGACTCAGCACCTCTCAATTTCTCCCTCTTATTTCCTTTCCCACTCCTCTCCTAAAATTGTTTATCAGCAAATTGGTTTTTACCAGAAGGCCCATGGCTCTCTCCCTCCGCAGGGATACCTAGTGAGAATTTTGACTTATGGAGAGCAGGAGAGCCATAGGTCTAATGAAGAACGTTCTGGCAGAGGCCCCCCTCCCCAAAGGAGGGGGGCTAGAAGACAGCAGAGAGTGGGATCCTGGCAGCCTCCACCCTTTTGGGACATGTAGATAGTCAATATCTTCAGAGTCACCAAGGCCAGCAGGGGTGGAGTCCTATATCTGAAGTCCCAGGCTGGGCTGGGAGTTGGTGAAGATTGGACTATGGGGGGGCGGGGATGCTGGGGGACGGTTATTACCTTTTCTGCCCTCCTCTCCTGGGACAACTCCAATTTTTCAGCCCTCATGGACACCAGAACTGGTGTCCCCAACTCCTCACTCATGTCTCTGTGACTTCTTTCCATTAGGTGCTCACAGCAAACTGGCCCCTAACTTTTTCAGTGCCTAAGCCAAGAGCCTGTGGACTTTTGGTGGTTAAGAGCACAAGGTGGGTTCAAATCCCAGCCCTGTCACCTACCAGCTGCGTTATATTGGTCAAGTCACTCTCTGGGCCTCAGATTTCTCATCTGTCAAGTGGGGTAATACTAGTTCCCACCCCACATGAGGGCTGTGATGATTAAACACATGTAAAGAGAGGACAGTGGTGGGCAGCAAGTTGATGTCTGGCTTAGTAAAACCTCTCTGAGTGTGCTAACAATAACAACCACAATAATAGCAACCACACTGCATAAGATCCCTGAGTTTAAACACAACGGTTTCACTGGAGTCCCCAAGACTTCCATGGCCAGTTTCTCTGCCTCGGATTCACCCAAAATTGGATCTCATAGCCTTTCCTATTTCTGCCCCCGTGGACAACTGCTTGGCCTCCTAAGTCCTCACACTCCCGGCACGGGCACTGGTAGTCCCAACCAGCCTCGGTCTGGCCTCATGACACCCCGTCCTAATGCTCTGCCCGTGTACCCCGTGACATCCCCCGCCCGCCCCAGCTCATGCCTGCTTGCACCGCCTGCGCCAGGGTGGTGAGCCCGGTCCTGCCGGTGGAGCCGAATATCGCGATCTTCTTCGCGGCCATCCTGCGGGGTGGTGGGCGTGCAAGTCTTCAGAGTCGCAGCACGCGTGGGAAACCACTGGCTGCTGAGCGGCGCTCCTGCCCGCCTCTAGCCGGAACAAGGGGGCGGAGTCGGCTCGTAGGGCCACGCCTCAAGTCGCTCCACCCCGTTTCAGGTCAAGGGGCGGGGTCGCACGGGCCACGCCTCCAGTTGGGAAGAGCGCGGGTGAGAAGGGAAGGAGTCAGCTCGCACTCGCTCACCGCCCAGCCCCGCCCCCGCCGCCCGTCGCTGGGGCTGGGGGCGTGGCCTCACGTACCCAAGCGCGAGTAGGCGGGGCCAGGAAAGTAAGTCACTCAGCGCCCCGCCTCCGCGCCCAGCCTCCCGGGGAGGGGCGGGGCTCGGCGAGCCACGCCCTCTGGTGTCCCCCAGCTCACGCCCCCTCTCCCAGAGCCTCGAGGCAGATCTGGGACTCACACTACGCCCCAGGGTCTCCCCGAACGACCAAGGGGAGAAAGCGAGGGAGGATAGTGTGCGTGTGTAGTGTGTGTGAGACACTGTAACCGCGTGTCTATGTTCTCGTATGACCCCATGTGACTCTAAGTAACCACAAGGGAGAGCATGGTTGTGAGCGACACCTTGCGCCATCCTCGTAACCTCGTGTGACAGTGTGTGACACCTCGTGTTGCCCGTGCGTGACACCACGTGTGGCAGACACCGATTCTGCTCTTTTGTGGCCTTGTGGTGACACTGTGGGTGACACTATGTGTCCGCCTGTGTGACATGGTGAGTGTGGGACATGAGTAAGGCGTGCTATACGGGAGGGTGTGAACATTAGACGGTGACAGCAGTGACACCACATGTGTTGTGTAAGGATGTGTGACACTGGGACTCCACTTGCGTGTGTGACCGTGGGTGTTTTTGTTGCTGTGAGGCTATTTGTGACCCCCGTGACTGTGTAACGTGCAGGATGTGAGTAGTGACTGCTATGACAAGTTCGAGTGTGGAAAAGAGTGTGACATTGTCGTTGTGAAGCTGCGTGTGACGTGTGGGTATATGGAGCTCTCTGTGGCCGCCGGGGAGTGTGCGAGAGTGTGTGGCCTGTGCGGTTGCGTGTGACGCTGCGTGGGCGGTGGTGAGCCTACTGGCGTGGGTCGTAGCGTGCGACACTGGCGGGCACCGGCCCGGCGTGGGACGCCGTGTGTGTGGCTGCGTGTGGCAGTCGGCCCCGCACGAGGGAGTGACAGCGTGTGAGCGTGGGGGTGCGGAGCGTGTGACCCCGTGGGAGGGTGTGACCGTGCGTGACGCTGCCCGACCCCCGGCGAGCGCCGCGCTGCACCGCG